TTGACATTGCTAGACATGCTCTGGTCCCCAGTCTGCTGGAAAGCCTGGCCCAGAGGGCGAGGAAGCTCAGAATGACTGGCTGTGACCTGTGGGAGGGCTGTGGTACTCATGTGTGGGAAAGATTTTAGTATGTGTGAATATAATGGAAAAGAAGCTGTTTATTGAGAGATCTCTGAGCAGTCACTTGGGGAGGACCTAGGAGGTCAGGATATTGGATGTTAGATTTAGTGAATGTAAAGCATTACATTCAGGTCTATAGTAGATCTAGCCTTGCTAGAAATCATCAGAAGCCATTGAGTCAGTTTACTACAACTCAGATCCAAGAGAGGACAGCAGAAGATAATAACAGAAAGTTTTTGAAGACTCTAACTCTCAGCTAAACTCCAACAGAAGTGTAAATGGAGTTTGACTCAGAGAGAAAGACTTAAACTGAGAAAGGTAGATTATAATCCCAATGATGATAATAGTAGCAGCAACATTAAAAATGGTATCAAGAAAGAAAATTATGAGCCAGGAGTAAGGATCTATGTAGGTAGGAGTACAAAACCCTTCCTCACAGGCGACAGAATTATCCACCATTGAGTTTTTGGCTTTCCAAGAATCATTTTGGAAAATATGCAGTCATTTATCACCCAGTGAACCAACTGTAATACTTAAGGCGAAGAACAAACCCAAAGTGAGCTTGACAGATATATTGGTTAAAAAAAATGCCCCCAACTTCTGCAAACCTTTATTCAGCTCAGCAAGCTTGCCTGTTCTTGATGCACCAAGATTTATAAGCAAAACAAACAAATAAACAAACATCACTTAAGAACCCTGGAAATACCCAGACACTCTAACTCCTCATCTGCTTATAGTTGATTGAACTTGGGTAGAAACCAACTTTCATGGTTTCAAGTCATGCAAAAGGTAGTTGCTCCATTGTTTAAGTTAACATCACTTCCAATTTATCTTTTTGAACCTAGCAAGATTCATTCTCCTGATAAAAGACAAAGTGATAGGAAATGAGATACTGACCCTCTAGATGACATTTTTGCACAGAACTGCTGCTTCCCCAACCCATCAAACTATCCTGTTTCCCCTTTATATACAATTAATCAGTCAAATGTATCCCTTAGAAAGTTTCTTATTCTGAGTGGTGAAGACAGGTGAGGCAATGCTTTGCCTTGGAGTTCCATTCTCTGCCACCCTTAACCTTCGAAGTCCCTTCCAAAGAAACCCCTGTGGGAAATCCAGAATCTTGGGAAAGAGCAGCCACTCTCTGCTTCCTTGGCATCCTCTTGTCTTCTAGTGTAGTTTTCCTCCCAGCATAAATTGCCGCATTGCATTCTTGACACCAAGCTGTTGGTGTGTTGCTTTGGAAATAGAATAAAAGAAGGATGGGCCAGGACCTAGAAAGAAATAGAAAGAAAAATAGTCTTTTCATTCTTATAGAGCAATAATCTTTAAGTAATATTGGAAGTGATTCTTACTAGCCTCCGGTGACAGACTTGAAGATATATAGACCTCCATTTTTTAAGCTTGGAGGAAAAAAAGCATTGTTCATTCTAGTAATACTCAGGTAAGATTTCCTTCCTAACTCTTGGCACAGTCCCATGCTAAGACCACCTCAGGAGTCTTTCTTCAAGGTCTCTTGGTTTGGAAATAACCCTGCAGTTGTCTATGCACATATTTTTGCCTTTGTAGTGCAGAGCCTTGCTAAGACACAGGAAGGTGAGCTACTTACTCTTCATTGTCATTCTTCTAATCATTTAATTGGGAATAAAATCTCAGGGAAGAGAGCTCCAAAATATGCATAAACCCATTGTTCCATGTCAGTTACATAAAACTCTTGACTGAGGGATATTTTTATAGTACTATCTGAGGCTGAATAAATGCCTCAACCCTTCATTTGGTATGAGTGAATTCCAGTAAGTGATTTCAAGGTAGTTTTTGTACAACTTTAGCCAGTAAATTTAAAGAGGAATCAAAATAATGTGCAGATTTTCTGTATCTCCTATTAGTGATAATCATTTAGAACATTTATATTACCAAGTAATATGGGTACCACATAAAATACTGGAAAACCTTCTGAGTAGGAATTTCAGTCTAATCTTACTCATATTTTAAAATTTCAGTCATCTGGCTCATAAGACAAAGAAGTAGAAGGAGAAATCTAATTAATGGACAAAAATGTGCTACTGAGGTGAAACATATGATGGGCAGATCTCAATCTCTCTGCTTTGAGGTATGAAATGTAGCTGTTGTCTAATCTGAGCTTGGAAAGTTTACCCATTCTCAACTTAATTAGCAGAAATAGTCTTTACTATATATAAACTGGAAACCTTACAGGAGGCTCCTCTATATGTTAAAAGAGAAAAGCCAGGCACATGAAATATGTCCATTGAGAGTTTGTTTTCTAGTTGTCCACCTTCTGGAGTAGATGCCTCGATATTTGCAGTATTAAGAAGGTTATTTAATAGTGAATTGCATGGATAGATGACTTTTTCTGGGAAAGACAACCTTTTATTTTCTAAGTGATAGCCCAAACAGGCACAAAGGAATGTTATAATTAACAGACTGATAGAATTAAGTTCCTGAACTGCCTCCTACCCCAGTCCTATCTACACTGGTCCCTGCATCTGGCTGTAGTGCTTATATGACCACATCTCCCTTATGAGTACCTATTTTAAATTGCTGTCCTTCACAGCTGGGACACTCCTGCCCTTTCTTTCTTTCTTTTTTCTTTTTTCTTTTTTTCCTTCTCTTAATTCACTGAAATATCTGGCAAGTATTCTTCAAACCTGGGATTTTCTTCCATGTGTTTGAGACAATCTTTCAACATTTCTAATTCTCTTACCTTTCCTTTAAAGGTGAAGGGGTATGCTTTCCTGCAGGGTATGTGTGTATACTAGAGAGAGAGAATCAGAGACAGAGACAGAGACAGAGACAGACAGACAGACAGACAGAGACAGAAAGAGAAAGACAGAGAAAGAAACAGAGAGAGGGGATCTGATGTTTGATGGAGCTGCCAGTCATGAAACAATTACTAGCTAAACTCAGCAGCAGAGTCTTACATACAGACATATGAGAGCTTTCATTACGTGCTGCCTTGTTCATTAGGAATCACTCTTAGCGAAGCTATTGAAAACTGCACATATTTGCATAACAGAAATGACACCTGAAGATGAAAGCAAACTGCACCTTAAGAAGCTTTCTTTTAAAGTCAGCAACTAACTGGAAATCAATGGAGAATTCTGCCCTTTCTCCCAGTATACGGGCTCTTCCGTGGCCCTTTGTGACTGGAGTTCCACCTTAGTCCTAGGCAGAGATTTTGTCAGATCTGAAGCACTGGGAACTTGTGTAGGGTGCTGGCCAGAAGAGAAGGGAATGGAGAGAAAGAGGGAGCAGACGGGGGAAGGAAAAGGGAGGGACAGGGGAGGAGGAGGGACCCCAAGGAAGAGTGTGCTCAGTGCAAAGTTCCCTCACTTGCATTTCTTCTCCGCAGTCCTCTTGACTTCAGCCGAACCTGCCCAAGAGGCACTCAGTGCTTTGCTGGCCCTCTGATTTCCAGAGAGACAGGGGTCTCTGTTGCTCCTGGGGATCCAGCTAACACAGTAAGCTACTCTTTGCGACTCCCACTACAGTCACCTTATTTCGACCCTGGGTGGGGGGGGGCGAGATTGCTTTCTCTGAAATCGTGATTCTGCCTCTTGCCCTTTAGCCAGCACCACAATCCGATTTGCTCTGGAGTTGACAGATTGTCCACTTCGGTGTGGTTGGAGCAGGGAGGGAAGTGAGGGACTGCTTCTCAGTCACCCAAAGGCCTTTCCGCCTCAGGGGAAGAGTTGGGCAGTGAGAAGGAGCCCAAGAGCCTCCAGCACAACTGTGGCCCGAGTCCACCGAGTCCACTTTCAGGCCGTTAAAGATCTCGCATTATTAGCATCAGCTGCAATGAAGGGCAAGGTCGAGCCTCTAAGTGGCTGTGCGCATAAACCAAGCCCCCAGACGCCTCCGCAACTCCACCCCCTGCCCACAGGCACCACAGGCTGAACGCGAATGGCTCTCTGGAGCCCATGTCGGTAATAACTTTTACTTTGAATCATGCCGCCCCCATTGTGGAATTCCTTGGGGAGCACTCGGAACACCCGCTGCGGAGGCTAAGCCTGCAGGGACAGCTTGCACCCTGTTACTTGGGCTCCTCTCACCTACGTGCCCTCACTCCCTCCCAGCCCCCGCGCTCAGGTACTCATGTTCTGGGACAGGAAGACCTGTGCGAGCCCCTTTAACTTCCCAGGTCAGGTGCATTCCTACTTTGTCTTATCCCTCTCTTCAGTCTAGCAAACTCTAAGCAAAGTTCCTGACAAAACGCATCCTTTCTGGATTTTGCACGGGCTTGTAGTGCCAGAGCTCTGGGAGACACTTGGAGCCCCTTTACCAATGCCCAAGGCAAATGACTCCACCAATCAGCAGCGACTCAGAGGCCAGAGAATTCCTTTGAGCTGCCCGGCACCCCTCCATAGGCTGCAGATCTGGGGCTGTGCTCCCGGGTTGTATATCCACTACTGTCCAGCTCTGTCCTAGGTCCTGAGTGTCTACCAAAATGGGAAAGGGCCGCCTCCGGCCCTCTCATTCCCTTCCTTTCGGATCCTAAAAGAGACTTTCCCCCTCTGAGCCACCCCAGTGTGGGGAGAAGATGGGCCAAACCGCACTTGGAGAGGCGTCGCCACCGGGGAAAGGCGCTGGCTTCTGCAGGCGCCGGCAGGCCGTGAAGCAGGCTTGGAGGCAGGCTGCGCCGGAGGGAGCGCCCAGCCCAGCAAAGAGTTAAAGGGAGGGGACGTGGGCTGTCACGCGTCATTGGGCAGATTATGTGCAGCAAACAAAAAGTGTGTGTCTGTGTGCCAGTCAGTCACTGCGTCGGGTCCATCTGTACTCTCTCTCTCTCTCTCTCTCTCTCTCTCTCTCTCCATTTTCCTCTCCCCATCTCTCCATCTCTCTCCGTCTTCTCTCTTTAGGCAGCGTCTACAAGACCTGAAACACCCGACATGGAATTGCACTGATACAATAGGCAGACAGCAGCCCTTGATCGCAGCTCCCCAGTTCCAGGTGGCCTTATCGGGGCGAGCGGATCCCGACCTTATTCCGGGTGAGTCTTCAGGATTCGCGTGGCTGTGGGAGGGGGGATGGGAGAAAGGTGGGTCTAATAGGAAGGCTGGGAAATGTCCCACCCCGTCCCCTGGTCTTTCAAAAGACAGGGAAAATGATCATTAAGGGGAGCTCATCTGCCAATAAGAGTATACAAAGAGGAGCGTGCGGGCGCACTTTCCCGAGAAGCCCGGGGCTGCGGAGCGCGCGGCCGCCAGACAATGCCTGCCCGGAGGGGCGGGAGCGCCGGGGACCGCTGCGGCGCCTCCCGGACCGGCGCGCCTGGGACAGGGTCCCCCGGGTGGCCCCGAGACCCGGCCTGGCGCGGGACGCCGCGCGGGAGCTTTGGGGTGGCAGAGGCGGCAGCGCGCGGCGAGCCCCCGGGCGGGCTCCTGCCCAGCGGGTACCGTGACCGCGGCTGGAGCATCTCGGCGGCCGCCGGCCAGTGCGAGCGCGGCCAGCCCTCCAGGACCTTTCCACCGTATTGTTAGGTAGAACCGCATTTTAATGACTGCGTTCTTGCTGTCGGCTGAAGTGACGGCGCCCTCCCTGCACAATGAAACGCTTGTGCGAAGAGTTTGAAAGGGAAGCGAGAAGAAATTAGGGCATAAAACGCTGATCTGAGGAACTGAAAAGGGGAGGTTAGGATTGATTGATTGATGAGCGGTCCTGGATTTTTAAATATATTTAATTTGCAATTGGAAATCAGGAAGGTTACTTTGTGGGAGGTAAAAATGCCCACGGATAGCTGGTTAGTATAATAAAAGTTTCTACTTTGGGGATCTTTTCTTCCTGTTTGCTGTTTGGCAGGTAGGGTCCAACACTTACCACTGCAGGCATACAGGAGAATGAACGGGAAAAGGGCTGACCAAAGTTTTGGCTCTGTAAGCTGGCAAGGAAGCAAACAAACAAACGCTACCTCGGAATTACATTTGCTAGACTAATTGGTTAATGGACATTAAGATGAAATGGGGGGCCGGGGATTTATCTCAGCTGCATAAGCGCCTGCCTGGTAAGCGCGAGGTCCTGAGTTCGATCTCCGGTACCAAAAATAAATAAATAAATAAATACAAAAAATAAAATGGGAATTACCAATAATGAGTTAATGGATGGCTTTGCAGAAAAAATTTACATTGACTCTTTTCTATCACTTATAGGAAACATACATAAATCACTGCCACGTATTAGGGAAAAACCAACCTGGAGGAATCTTTACACCTGTCAGAAAGAGAGCCAAAGCAGCCAGCTCAAAGCTAGTTTAAACACTTAATGTCTGCTTTCTTTAAAACTGATGTAGGGTGTGTCCAGTAGCAGAGGAAGGGAAATGTCCCTTTATGACAGCTTAATAGACAGTCCTCCATTGGGGCATTACTTTCTAAATTGCTGTGGATTAAACAGCTGGAGAGCCGCAAAGGACTATTCAAGCAGGGCTGCCCCCTCTTGCCCAAGCAGGGTTGTGTCTGGGGAAGTGAGAAGTCACCAGTCATTACCCACACTATGTCAGACAGGGGACAGTTCAGGCCTGCCCTGTACCTGCTCACTTCACAGACCACATGCGACTCTCTCCACCCTCTTGTATGACAAGGTAACTAGGATTCACCCTCATCCATAAATAAGCATGTCGAGAAAAAAATAATTACCTCTGCTTGCTGCTTTTAATTAAAGCCTCCAAGGGACAGTGTTGGATTATGGTAATGAGCAGACATACGTCCCTGCTTGTAGGCTGCAGAGAAAGGTTAGCTGACACGGAATTAGTGGCCCTGACACTCTACTTGAAATCCATTCGCTATGCTCCACTGTCTCCGCCTGCTTGCTAATGCTGCTCCCCTCTTTGGAAGAAAAGGGGGGAAAATCAGCTCCAGGGCATCCAGTTCAATGCATAAGAAAAGAGTGTCTCCCCAAGGGCTAGAAGTTTCTATCAGAAAAGTCTGTGTAGCTTGGTAGAAAAGATATATTACTATTCTCCGTTATCTTCACCCCAAAGACATCCATTGCCAACATGAGTAAAAATAACCTGGTCTCTCCTGGTCTTTTCCTTTTCTCCCAAACATGCAGTAGGCTCTAGGTGCTCCACTCTTCTGATTATCTAAAAGGGAAGGAAACTACTACTGAGTTAATGTTTTAAAAGCATTTTACATTGGTCTGCTTTATTTTTAAAGTAAGAGCTTTGCAAAAATCAGGCATATGCAACAAAAAATACCTGTCTCGGAATTGCAATATTCTGTGTGGGTGCATAGCAATGATATATATGTGATATAACCTGCTCTGTCCTGCATATTTGTCTCTAGTGATGGAGGATTCAGGCATCCAGAGAGGCATCTGGGATGGAGATGCCAAGGCTGTCCAACAATGCCTGACAGATATTTTTACCAGCGTTTACACAACCTGCGATATCCCCGAAAATGCTATATTTGGGCCCTGCGTTTTGAGCCATACTTCCCTGTATGACAGCATAGCCTTCATAGCACTCAAGTCCACTGACAAGAGAACTGTACCTTATATCTTCCGGGTAAGTGTTGGCCTGTGCTGTGTAGGTGCATGAGGGCCACAACCTCTTGGAAATGGAGTAAGAATCATTCTCATGACAAGCAGAACAGGCTCTGACTGTAGAAAATGCAGTAATGCAAGTAGTCCCAGCTTAACTGCCAAAACTAAATACAAACTAAATAAAATACAAACTAAATAAACTGAATTTCACCTGAGTGCTTTAGAATATTAGGAAGGTGTGAATTGGTTCTGAGTTTTCTGCTTGATGCATCTGTCTTCCTCAACTCTAGGCTAAAGTCATTTACACACTAAGTGCTTTCTGGAAGTACTTTTGCAAGTATTGGGTACTACCTGCTTTCCAGCATAGGAGGCCAGCTCATCTCCTGAATGTTACTTTCTTTAGAAAGATTAGCTAGTAGCCACAGTTTATTTAAATAAAAATGATAATTGTTTGGACAGCAATGCATCATTAAGTCCACACGTTTGAGTCTTAAGACAACAGGCCTTCCTAGTCACTTCCTATTCTTCCTTTACAGAGAAGAGCTATTAATCGTCCAAGTGGAAATTAGGAAGATGCGTCCCGCAGAATGATTTCTAAGATCTAAACTTGTACTTTACTTTTGAGACAAACTTCCTCGTACTTCTGTAGTGTGTAACAACCTAGAAGTAAATCCGGAAGAGGTTAAAGACTACTTTACATTTTAAGAGGGACTCTCTACATTGGATATTCAACCAAAATATGAAAAAGATTTAAATTATAGGATTGATGTAGTGTTTCACAAGGATACTTAACTTGCTTGCTGGTTCGAAGCATAAGTTTGTGTCCCACCTTGCCTCAAGTTTTGGTCTCAGCTAATTCTCTGGAAGGCAAGAAAGGGTCTCATTTGTCTGGCTTCATTTTCTCACAAGGACGTTCCCTCTTCCTTCCTACGTTCTTCTATTTTAAAATACAGGTAGACACCTCAGCGGCAAACGGTTCTTCCGAAGGCCTCATGTGGCTGCGCCTGGTCCAGTCGGCCAGAGATCGGGAAGAACAGAACCTCGAAGCCTACATCAAAAACGGACAGCTGTTCTACCGCTCCCTCCGCAGGATTGCCAAAGACGAGGAATTACTCGTTTGGTACGGGAAAGAACTGACTGAGTTACTCTTGCTCTGCCCCTCTAGACCCCACAACAAACTGAATGGTAGGTTGGCTCGCGAGCTGCGCGTGGGCCCTTCGCGGGCTGGGGAGAGGTGCAGGGAGCGGCGGCAGGGCCACCCATGGGTGCCTTTCCTCCGGGAATCTCCTAGGAAACTTCCGGGATGCAGCCCGAAACGAAGCTGGGACGGACAGGGGAGGACAAGCCGGGGCGCCCTCGGCTTGCTTTACTATACTCCTCCGATTTGGAAGGAAAGTTAGATCAGGTCGGGTAGAATATTTTCTTGGAGCTGAAGGTGGCTTGCGAAGGGGATGCTGGCCAAGTGGCCGGGGGCGACGCTGAGTAATCATGTGGTGTGCCTGTGTGTGGTGTTTGCTCACTAAGCAGGGTCGTCCCCTTATTCATGCCTGGAATGCAGCCAGCGTTTCCAGTTTGAGTTTCCCTATGTGGCGCATCTGCGTTTCCGCTGCCCCAAGAGACTTCACAGCGCTGATCTGAGTCCCCAAGACGAGCAAGGCGGCGGCGTGGGCACGAAGGACCAAGGGGGCGGCGGCGGCGGCAAAGAGCAGCAGCCGCAACAGGAGGCATCTTTGGGCCCCGGGCCCAAATTCTGCAAAGCTGGCCCCATCCACCATTACCCAGCCCCCTCGCCCGAGAGCAGCAACCCACCTCCCTCCGCTGGCAGCACTAGCAGTAGCAGCAGCAGCAGTGCGAAGCCATCTACGGACTTCCACAACCTGGCCCGGGAGCTGGAGAACTCGCGGGGAGGCGGCAGCTGCTCCCCGGCCTCAGGGCTCAGCGGCGGTTGCAGCGGCGCCGGCCACCAGGAGGCGGAGCTGAGCCCCGACGGCGCGGCCGCCGGCGGCTGCAAAGGAAAGCGGAAGTTCCCCGAGGAGGCTGCCGAGGTGGGGGGCCGGGCCCGCCCGGCCGAGCGGCCCCCGCCGGCCTCCAAGGAGGACCTGGTGTGCACGCCGCAGCAGTACCGCGCCTCGGGCAGCTACTTCGGCCTGGAGGACGGCGGCCGCCTCTTCACGCCGCCCAGCCCCGAGACGGGCGAGGCCAAGCGCAGCGCCTTCGTGGAGGTGAAGAAGGCGGCGCGCGCGGCAGGGCTGCAGGAGGACACGGCTGCCGAGGGCGGCGGCGCGGCGCCCGAGGACCAGGACGCCGGCGGGGGCGGCGGGGGCGGCGCGTCCACACCCGCGGCCGCGTCCCCGGCGGGCGGCGCAGAGAAGCTGCTGGGCCCGCGGCCGGGGGGCCCGCTGCCCGGCCGGCTGGAGGGCGGCAGCGCCTTCACGTCGGTGCCGCAGCTGGGCGGGGGCGCGGCGGGCGCGGCGGGCGGCGGCCAGGGCTCCGCGCCCGACGAGCGCAAGAGCGCCTTCTCGCAGCCCGCGCGCTCCTTCTCGCAGCTGTCCCCGCTGGTGCTGGGCCAGAAGCTGGGGGCGCTCGAGCCGTGCCACCCCGGCGACGGCGTGGGCCCCACCAGACTGTACCCCGCCCCCGCCGACCCGCTGGCCGTGAAGCTGCAGGGCGCCGCGGACCTCAACGGCGGCTGCGGGGCGCTGGCGGGGGGCGGCGGCGGGCTGCCCAAGCAGAGCCCCTTCCTCTACGCCACGGCCTTCTGGCCCAAGAGCTCCGCGGCGGCGGCGGCGGCGGCGGCGGCCGGGCCCCTCCAGCTGCAGCTGCCCGCGGCGCTCACGCTGCTGCCGCCCTCCTTCACCTCGCTGTGTCTGCCCGCGCAGAACTGGTGCGCCAAGTGCAACGCCTCCTTCCGCATGACCTCCGACCTGGTGTACCACATGCGCTCGCACCACAAAAAGGAGTACGCCATGGAGCCGCTGGTCAAGCGGCGGCGGGAGGAGAAACTCAAGTGCCCCATATGCAACGAGTCCTTCAGGGAGCGCCACCACCTATCCAGGCACATGACCTCGCACAATTGACACGCAGAGGACCCCAACTGTCCATGCGCCCGCGCACAGCCAAGCCAGCCGCAGGAGCAAATTCGTGAGGTCGCCCACCACTTCCTCGCGCCCGGAAACACTGCACAAGCACACGCAAACACGCGCACACACTCACGCATACACATGCTCTAACAGGAGCCTCCTTCCCTCATTCAGATTATTTACCCGGGACACACGGAGACGCACACGCGCGCGAGACAGGATGGTGAATTTTTGAGTGGGTGGGTGGTTGGAAGGGGTTTTCTTTTGAATGCACGCATTTTCACTTTCCCGAAAAACAAAGGTACATTTTTTAAAATGTCATATATTGCAACATATTGATGCATTTGTCATACGTTTCTACTTAAATTATTAAGCACTTACTGTTTAGATGGAATAATTATATGTAAGGGCAAAATTTATTTTAGATATAAAGAAACGGAGGTCAGTGAGATGCTTTCTGCATTTCTTGATGATAGCTTGTGTTCTTACAAAAATAAAAATGAATAAAAAGGGGCTTGCCATTCAGTTGAAGTTTCCAGGGGGAAGTGCATGTATCATGAAATGATTACGGACTTCAATGAAGAATGTCGTTAATTATGTAAATAAGTATTTCCCTTTAATACAAAGTGTAATTTTGTGTCAGTGAAATGGAGTCTGAATAGTTATGTGTTTCTTTTATCCCTGGAAAGATTTATTAAACTGTATAGTTTATCTGGGTATGTTGGATGCTTTGACAATAAATGACTATTTTCTTCAAAACTACTTTTTGAAAAGTTTTTAACATGTTTTTGGCAGCCAAGTGGTACACTTTGAGTAGATACCATTCAGTCCCTGAAAAGGAGAGAACAGAGATGATATGCCTTGACCCATTTGCATTTATTTACTGTAAGTCAGTTGTACACCTAAAAGATAATTTGATTATGGCTTGAGAAATCTTTGGCTGGAAACTATTGTTGGGGCTTCTTGATCAAAGACAATTCATTTTGACAAAAATGCCTGCCACTGCTATATCTGCATTCTTCAGAGCAGCAAGATAATTAGCATGTTCTCAAATGTCCTGAGACAAACAATTTCAGGTGTGTATCTGGGAGAACAGAGGAAAAGCTGGCTTTTGGTTCTAGGACAGTGTCTACATGGATGAACAGTTTATTCTCTAAAACCTTTCAGCATTCTGGTGTCCATTAAGAGACACCCCTGTGGGAACCCTAGTGAAAAGATCACAGTTTGGTGGTAGACTGTATGTCAAAGGGCCCAGTTTTGCTTCTAAAGTCTTCAACATCTGCACAGTGCGGGAAAGGGGGAATGGCTGTGCAATATTATAATGCAAAAGAACCTGGTAACTTTCCTCCTCTTCCTGTTCCCTTTATGAGAAGTCACTCTAGTCTTCATATTCGTAGTTAAATAGAGAGTATTTGTGTAAGTGTAGATGGTTCATCCAGTAACTATCAGACATAAAACCATCTGTAGAAATGGTACCTTAGGTCTTATGATAGTTTGCTCATAATCCCTGGGAATCCCCATAGCCATCTATGGATGCTCTAGAAACAGGCACTGTTTTAACCATTGTAAGAGGGAAGTTTTCTACTTTCTCCCTCCTTGCCTATTCTGCTGATCTTCCCTATACTTGAAGGACACATGAAAAGATCTGAAATGGAAAATTTATTGTAGGTCTCAGTACAGGATTTTGCATGACTTTTCCTAAAAGGATTTTAAGGCTTTGATTATGTTAAGGCTGCCAAAAAACAAGTTATACTAGGGAGCAGGTAAAGACTAGATTGAAGAGCATAGCAAGGGGGCACGTCCTGTGATCCCAGGACTGAGAGTCGAAAAGATTGAAGTTTTAGTCCTGTCTGGCAACTTAATGAGACTGTTTTAAAGAAAAGAAAAAAAGAAAAAGCTGGGGGTTGGAGGAAGACTTTGAATTGAACGAATAGTGTGTGTCTACAAGGGAGTTTAAGGAAAGTTGGTGAAATACTTTTTGTGTTACATTTGAGGCATGCTGTAAGTTTTCCTAAGCAATAGTTTGATTCCACTTCTACCCTTGCTGTTCTTGACTAATGTGACCTTGCATCCTGTAGGCATCACAGATTTACTTGTGGCTTGGTTTTCTTGTCTGTAAAATGAGTGAGGCATAGTCTACTTGTTTTACCTACTGAGCAATCCTAGTGAACATAGTGGGGACATTTTAGAGAAAAGCCAAGATTGACAGCGAAGGAAACTGAATGGCAAGAAGTGAGGACATTTGGGGACAAACTGAAGACGGGTCTCCAGGGTTTAAACTCACATTATTTGACAGACTGAATTGGCTGTGCCTGGAAGCTAGAGGATCTTTGAAGCAAAAACCTGTTCAACACAAATAAATGCAGGTTGTCCTACTGCCTAACTTAAAAAACAACAAACAAAACCCTTGACCTTTTCCTTTCCATCTGGTCCTTGGAATCTTTATCACCAAGGGAGTTTCATTATCTATTGAGGATCCAGGCAGGAATGCACTGAGGTCTGCAATAATGTAAGCAAATGTTACCTTTTGGAAAAGGCTTCTTTTCAGTCCAGAATCATATTTCCTGGAGAACCCATGCAGACTCAGAGCCTGCCCCATGTTTTCTTTTGTGTGGCCATTAACTTAATCATACAATCAGGAAGAAAGCCCAGTCTTGGCTGAGCATCGCCCAGACGATCCAGGTAGGTGTTTTCATGGCAGGCACTTTAGGGCTGTGCAGTTATGCTGATCTGTCTGCCCACGAGACCATTTTGGCGGGAAGTGGTAGGGGAAGGGTGCCCAAAGCTAGTCTAGTCTTCAGCCAAGGCAAACTCAGGAATGTTTGATTTGAATGCTGCCTGTTCAAGCTTCCAAAGGCACTTTAATACTCTTCTGTCTGAGCTTCTCGGGGAGGAGCTGAAATCTCCCCTGTGTCAGAGCTGCAAGCCTGTATCTGCTTGAAGTGCGGAAAAAACAAGGTCACAGGGTCATGTAGACATCAAGACCAGCTGGTCCCAAAAGTCCATGCCAGGTGACTCAGTCCAACCAGGTGGCCTGAGCTTTGAGTGTGGGAGCTGCAGGCCCTGAAGCCAACCAGTTTCTTGGGCTGGACAACCCTTGCTTTAGGACTGCGGTGGACCAACCCTGACCTTGCCCTGGTACCGGGGATCAGCGAACTCCTCAAGGTCGCCCAACCTCTCTCCTCTGGGTCTCTTCCCTTCCTGGAGGGAGGAGGCACCTGTATTTTCCAGGATGCGCTTGTGGGGTGCAGCGTTTACCATCCACCAGCAAGGGCCTGAAGGGAGCCACCATCAGAAGCGGCTCTGCAGGAGTTAGCAGGCCCAGAGAGCCCAGACCAAACTGGGACCTGGCTGGGCAAGTTGCTAAGGCTCGGGCAGCGCACTTGTGTCTCTGCGGCCCTGGGGTGCCTTGCACTCATCGCTGCAATCTGCTGTGAGGTAGGGAGCAGCACCGCGGCGGGGAACAGGGTGCCTGGCGCCCAGGTGCTCTTCCCGGTTAAGGTCCTCGGAGCTCGGCCTCTCGAAGCGCGCTGGCCAGTGAACTCTAAAGGGGAATCCTCTTCAACAGCGGGACCAGTAACATCCAGAAACGGCATAGCCAGGGGCCAGCTTCCCCCCCCCCCCCCTGCTCCACATCGCCCCTGTTCCTAGATGTGAGCCCCAGGTCGTCCTCCCCGGGGTCCAGCTTCTCCTTGCAGGCTCAGTGCCCGGAGCCTCCCGCGCGCCCCGAGGCCCGAGAGACCGGGCAGCTCTCAGCCCTCACTCTGCCCTGGCCCACGTTCTAGAATCCTTCAGGCTGTCAGGATCGCTCGGAGGTAGCTCCTGCTTTATCGTCATGTCTACGTCCTGCCTTCTGAAGCTTTTTGTTCCTGCCCACAACTTTAGAGGGATGTTTCTGAGGCTCTGTCCTCTCCCCTGCGGACTCTTTCAGTGCTTTGGTGGCTGCACGGGCACCAGGGGAGAAGGTGCTTGGTGACTCACTGGGTAGCCCACGGTTGCAGGCACTTAGAAGAGGTCAACAAATGCCCCCAACACACACACACACACACACACACACACACACACACACACACACACACACACACACACGATGATCTTCTGAATGTTCCTTTAGCTTGAAATTCTCATTTTCTCCTTTAAATTTGAGAAACAACCTCCAAAAGATGTAGACAATCTGGCCAGCCCAGATTGGGCCATGAAACTGGGCCATCCACTTGTCCTCCTCCAAAAGTATCCTAGCTAACCAGAAGATCCTGAGCGCCAGCACGTGTGAGGCAGAAATGGTCTAGTTTTGGAACCTGGGTGGGCATGGACAAGGAAGCCCCATGCCTCTGCTTCACCCCTGATATTCCTAAGGCAGCCTTGCCTGTTCCACTTCAACCTGGGACTTAGAACTTTTAAGGAACATATCTACTCTTCAGGATGTGTGAATGAGACAATTGGAGAAAGAAATTTTTAAAAATTAGCTTTATTTTGTCATCTCTAGGGTTAGAGGACTGGTGTCTTACTGGAACTAATTTTGTCATGCTAGTTACTATATACTTACTCCTCTTTAAGTTGTGTATGTGTGTGCCTAAGTGTGTGTTAGAATACTTATGCAAGTTTGCACATACACCCATATATTTACAAGAATGTTTACACATACAGATTTATAATTTATATACATATACACTTAAATTTTAATTCCCACTCCTATCCTATATGTATGACTGGAGGCATTATTTTAAATAAGTTTCCTTTGTTGACATTGCTTAATTCTTACAACTTACTCAAGAGGAGGGCCAGTCAGGGCCCACTCAGTGTCTGGCAATTATGTGGCTAATGTGGATGTCACCCCCAAGATAGAACAATGAGAACGTAAGAGTGTAATGGAAAGAACAGTGGCTAAGAAGTCAGGAGAAGGGCTCCAAATTTTGTGGGGTTTCTATTGCATTTATTTGTTTATTGAAAAGGTCTTGCTCAGTAGCCAAGGTTAGGCAGGAACTCACAATCCTGTCTCCCTAGTGTGGGAATTACAGACATGTGCCACTGAGCTCGGCTTGTTTCCTTTATTTCAACTTGTGAATAACACTCCTCCTGACTTAGTCATGTAGCAGTGACTTGGAAAGCAAACACAGTCATACATGGGGAAGTTTTTCATGCTATCACATGTGAGTGACTCCCCTGTTGGTGAAGGGCATGGCCTTTTAGCCTTGTCCTCCTTGGGTCATCAGGTTGCTGTAGTACTGTTAGAAGAATTTTTTTGTGTGGCCTTGACTTCCTTTAATGATTTCTTTTTCTTTTTCCTGAAAAATAGCTGGTTCCATGTTATGGATGTATATGTAACTAATTGGGACTTTCTAGTGTCTCTAACTTATAGGAAGTTTACAGAAAAAGGTTTCAGGGCATAAAATCAAGAAAGTCAGTAGATCCATTAATCTACATGTAGTTTTAAAAAAATTAAATTTTTATTTTAATATAATATGAGTAGATATTAATAAAACAAATATACAAACAGTCTTTTTACTTTTCTATGAAAAAATAAAACAAAATTTCATAAAAATAATGAGAGAACAACAGTCATGGTCTTTAAGGAATGGTCAATTTGTTGTTCAGAGTACAAGTCACAAATAAGTAAAGATTCTTTCTTACAAAGGAGAAATAATTAAAAGAGCAAAACTTTCTTTTCAGTGAACGAAAGAAACCAGTGGTAGACATGAAGCAAATTTAGCATTTATGTTAAAATATTTTTGAACAGAATAGATAATTTGGGAAGTTATTTG